CGCCCGTGCCCTCACCATACCCCTCGGCGCCTCCCGAGCCTCAATCCTTGACTCCGCCGGACGATGACATACAGTCGAATCAGGCCACGTCCCAACAGCAACAACAGCAGCAGCAGCAACAACAACAAACGCAGCAGCAAGTCCAACAGCAGCAGCAGCAGCAGCAGCAACAACAACAACAGCAGCAGCAGCAGCAGCAGCAGCAGCAGCAAGTTCAACAGCAACCTCAACAACAACAGACGCAACAGCAAGATCACTCGCCGCAGCAACAATTGACCCCTCACGCAGAGGTGGATCGCAGCGATTGCTTCCCCGGCGCTGGAGAGCTGCAGCAATATCCGCAGCATTACTTCAAAGAGGCCCGGCCGCACCCCTCGCCGTCCGTACCGCCACATATGCTCACTCCTGGCGGTTTCTCCGCGCTGCACTATCTCAAGCAACCCGGGGTAATGCTGACGTCCCTCGGCCAAGGTGACGGCGGGCCCGGTCTGGACGCGCATCAGTACGCGAGCCCGGGCGCGCCGAACATGGCGACTGGACTGCCCGACATCGTGCAGCAAAGCGGCAAATCGTCCAAGGCCGGCAACAGCGATCTACGTCTGTTCAAGTGCTTAACCTGCGGCAAAGATTTTAAACAGAAGTCAACTCTGCTGCAGCACGAGCGGATCCACACGGACAGCCGGCCGTACGGGTGTCCGGAGTGCGGCAAGCGGTTCCGTCAGCAATCCCATCTCACGCAGCATCTGCGCATACATGCTAACGAGAAGCCGTACGCTTGCGTGTACTGCGAGCGTACGTTCCGGCAGCGTGCCATCCTCAACCAGCATCTGCGCATCCACTCGGGTGAGAAGCCATACCAATGTCCGGAGTGCGGAAAACACTTCCGTCAGAAGGCGATCCTGAATCAGCACGTCCGCACACACCAAGGCGAGCATTTCTCTCTGCCTCCCAGACTCCCCAGAGGGCGTCCACCACAACCAAACACTGACCCACCCACCGGTTCTCACTCATTACTATCGCAACCACCGTCGCCACCGTCACCATCGGCATCATCGCCATCGTCGTCATTATAATCATCACGTTCATTACCGCCGGCGGTACAATAATCCGCATACTAACGATTCATCTCGATTCTCACCTGTCCATCTGCACCAGTGGCGGATTTACGGCTCGAGAGATCAAAGAATTATAAATTCACAGGACGATGTGTGGGGTCTCGAAATAATCGGGGTAAATTCACCACTGGTCTATATCACCTATATCCCTCACCTGCCGGCACGCGATTTTATATATCAAAAGCTTCCGAAACTAACGACGACTCGCTAGAGAGCAAGTACCGATATCATCGGCCTCGTTTGAGCTAAGGCCAACCGGCGGGTAAGAACGGTTGAGCTGGACGCGAGAGCGCTGGTGAGCTGTGAGATGGAGCGGCATTTACCCTCCGGTACTGTGCGATCCAACTTGTCATCCATCTAATCCGACTGCCCTCTAATAACTCTAGTTCCTCGCGTGTTCCTCCGATAAAATCAACATTGGCCTGTCATGGATCAGTAACTATTTTTTCTAGCGTTTCTTTTTATTCATACACCTACTAATACTAATAACTTTCAATGGAAATCGCGATAAATTGGGTCACGGTAATTTTCCAAGCAGCACAGAAGTCCAAAAGACGTTGAGTGAATCAGGATACGTTTTAGATGTTTCTTGGACATTTGTCTGGATGTTTTTCATCAATTTCATTCGACTGAATATTTTTGAGGTCGCGCTTGATTCGCGTTATAATTGGCATGCAGGTAGATCTTATCCCGTGTCGTTAAACCGTAATCCGGGCTACTAACGTTTCCTCTTACCTATCCTCTATGGAATACCGTCAATGAATCGTGAATCGTTCTCTTGTTACAGACGTGAGCCCGCATCTCATCTTCAAAAATGGGATGACGCCGACTCTCTGGCCACAGGATGTCCCCTTTCCGCCCGAAGAGGGTAAGGAGGAAGTGGCGTCGACGTTCGGTGATACGGACACGCAATCGGGCGCGTTTAGTCCGGCGCCGGACGCCAATTCTATCCAGTACCCGGCGTACTTCAAGGATCCAAAAGGCGGCAATCACGCGGTTTTTGGTGCGGGCGGCTCGGGCAGTTTTGGCGCCTTGCAGTACATCAAGCAGCAAGGTGGCACGAAGAGCTGTCTGCCTGACGTGATACAACACGGCCGCTCGGCCGGCATGCCGTTATACGTGCGTTGCCCGATTTGTCAGAAAGAGTTCAAGCAGAAATCGACGCTACTGCAACACGGGTGCATACACATCGAGTCGCGGCCGTATCCTTGCCCGGAATGCGGCAAGCGATTCCGGCAACAGTCTCACCTTACGCAGCATTTGCGCATCCACACGAACGAGAAACCGTACGGCTGCGT